AGAGAGAGAGAGAGAGAGAGAGAGAGAGAGAGAGAGAGAGAGAGAGAGAGAGAGAGAGAGAGAGAGAGAGAGAGAGAGAGAGAGAGAGAGAGAGAGAGAGAGAGAGAGAGAGAGAGAGAGAGAGAGAGAGAGAGAGAGAGAGAGAGAGAGAGAGAGAGAGAGAGAGAGAGAGAGAGAGAGAGAGAGAGAGAGAGAGAGAGAGAGAGAGAGAGAGAGAGAGAGAGAGAGAGAGAGAGAGAGAGAGAGAGAGAGAGAGAGAGAGAGAGAGAGAGAGAGAGAGAGAGAGAGAGAGAGAGAGAGAGAGAGAGAGAGAGAGAGAGAGAGAGAGAGAGAGAGAGAGAGAGAGAGAGAGAGAGAGAGAGAGAGAGAGAGAGAGAGAGAGAGAGAGAGAGAGAGAGAGAGAGAGAGAGAGAGAGAGAGAGAGAGAGAGAGAGAGAGAGAGAGAGAGAGAGAGAGAGAGAGAGAGAGAGAGAGAGAGAGAGAGAGAGAGAGAGAGAGAGAGAGAGAGAGAGAGAGAGAGAGAGAGAGAGAGAGAGAGAGAGAGAGAGAGAGAGAGAGAGAGAGAGAGAGAGAGAGAGAGAGAGAGAGAGAGAGAGAGAGAGAGAGAGAGAGAGAGAGAGAGAGAGAGAGAGAGAGAGAGAGAGAGAGAGAGAGAGAGAGAGAGAGAGAGAGAGAGAGAGAGAGAGAGAGAGAGAGAGAGAGAGAGAGAGAGAGAGAGAGAGAGAGAGAGAGAGAGAGAGAGAGAGAGAGAGAGAGAGAGAGAGAGAGAGAGAGAGAGAGAGAGAGAGAGAGAGAGAGAGAGAGAGAGAGAGAGAGAGAGAGAGAGAGAGAGAGAGAGAGAGAGAGAGAGAGAGAGAGAGAGAGAGAGAGAGAGAGAGAGAGAGAGAGAGAGAGAGAGAGAGAGAGAGAGAGAGAGAGAGAGAGAGAGAGAGAGAGAGAGAGAGAGAGAGAGAGAGAGAGAGAGAGAGAGAGAGAGAGAGAGAGAGAGAGAGAGAGAGAGAGAGAGAGAGAGAGAGAGAGAGAGAGAGAGAGAGAGAGAGAGAGAGAGAGAGAGAGAGAGAGAGAGAGAGAGAGAGAGAGAGAGAGAGAGAGAGAGAGAGAGAGAGAGAGAGAGAGAGAGAGAGAGAGAGAGAGAGAGAGAGAGAGAGAGAGAGAGAGAGAGAGAGCATGGCAATGCAACCATTATCATTGTGACTTGCCAACTCGTCTCACTGCAGCATGAGAACACAACATGTATTAACATTAACTCATTACAAAAGTTTCAGTGCCATGTAAAATTGCTCCAGTTTGTTGCACAAGCTGTGATATGCATTGTTAAGAACACCCAGGCATAGTTCACGGCAGAAATGCAATATCCTGATGATAATGGGTTGATAAAGGGAACACAAACACTTAGTCTAATCTGAAAAATCACATTACCACTGTCTTTTGAGAGACAAAGCTACAAAACTTCTGGAATATCAAAACATGAGCATTGTTCAGAAGAACTACAAATCCCTATGACTCAAATCTTCATATTTTTTCCTTTAGTTCAATATGAAACTTTCTTCAAACAACATATCAACCAGACCATGTCACACATTTCCCCCCCAAAAGTGAAAAAATAAATAAGTATAAAAATAAACTCACGTACATACCTACCAACAAGGTTATAGGAGATATGCAACATTAACAAATATCACTAGATGGTAGTTTTTCAATCAAAACAGCAATAACTGTCTAAACTCCTGATATTCAAGAAGTCTGTACTTGTGCAAAATTCTTGTCACTTAACATCTTCACTCTTATATTTCTTATGGAGTAAAAAAAAAAAAAGAAAAAAAAAAAAGAAAGAAAGAAAAAAAAGCATACCTAATCCACTATAAAAAATCACTTTTTGTTTTGTTATACAAAAAGCTTTTTATTTTCCTAATTTTTGTATTTATTTAGGCAGCCAAAAAAAAAAAAAAAAAAGAAAAAAAAGAAAAAAGAAAAAAAAAAAATCCCTGAATCAAAGTGCAGAGTTGAACATGATTGAAATTTCCTTGCATAGAAGAGCAGCCATCAATGTCCTTTAACACATACATAAACCAAGAAATAGGCACTACTTTTTATTCTATTTGGAATAATGAGTGGAAAAAATCAGAAACAGTAGATTCGACATCTGATGAACATGATTCCCATACAAATCTGAACAATAATAAATAATATATCCTATAAATTACTGCATTTTCTCAATATCACATATTGCACAAATTAGTCGTTATAAACACCCATTAACTCATAGGACACATTCAGATCACTAATAAAAATGTGTGTTGCAGTTGACTTTCACTTGCAAAAAATGGAAAAGTCTTAACATACTAAAGTAGCTGCAAAAAACTATTTTACATATATTCGATTTCAGAATTTTAGAGCTGATTTTATACATAGACTTCTCAGACACAAGAACCTTAATTATAATCAAAGACAAACTCTATTTTCCCTCGATTAACATATAGAGAAATACAGGCATGGGGAAAGCAATGAATTCAATTTGAACAAAACCAATACCTAGATATCACCGACTCGTAAGATAAAAACGGTCTGGAGCTATGAGAGGAATGTATTTACAATCTTCAAAAGATCTAATATCCTGATAACTTTACGATAATAAATAGATTATAATTTAACAAAGTTGCAAGTTGCATCTTCACACGTTCACTACATGACAACTTTATTGAATGGGAAGGCAGAGAGAGTTTCGTGCTTCTGGATACTTAGATTGCAAAATTTTAAATCATCCTAGGGTTTCTGCATATTGTTTCCTATCCAAACCATATGTTTATGGTGCTACCATGTACAGTAACCTTGAGGAAGCCATTGGTGTATTCGGCTGCTACTCGTAATTCAAACTAGTATGTATTACAAACTATCTCCAAAAAGCTTGTTCTGTGACGAGGGACTCCTTGATCCCTCTAAAACAGTGGCTTCTTATCGTATCTTGCATATCAAAAATCCTTTACACTGTGATGAACCTTTATATTTCCTGTGTAAATGGCCACAATTCAGGGCAAGCAAAAGTAACCAGCATATAAAAGTTGCCAGGCTGGGATAGAAAAATACTTGCATGATCTAGCTCCTGCAGAAGGATCTCGTTTGTCCTGTAAACCCTGCAAGGGCAATCCTTCCTTGCTGGTGCCACTTCCACATAATCATAAATAATACCAGATAACTAAGCTGGGCAGTTTTGCCTGGAAGGTTCTTGTTGGACCACACGGGCTCAGCTCTGTATCAGCAGTAGCAGGAGCTGGAGTTCTGTACCTCGACCCCGTTCCTCTCCCTGCCGATGGACATGACTTCCGCTCTGTGAATGTCTTCTGGGGGAAACTGCGTGGGGTCTATGGGCATCATGGGTTTGGAGGCTTTCAGCTTGTGGGCAAGAGTCATGAAGATGGCCTCTACGTGATCACAGTCATTATCATTTTTTGCTGAAGTTTCAAAGAGCTGAAAAAATTATAGAAGCAAGCTGTATACACTGTCATAATATGCTTGCAGTAAAAACCTGATAACTATATGACATTATATCATGATTAATGAATATACATCTCACAGCAAATGACAAGCAAAGGTACCACAAAAATAGTGCAGGCTAGCTGAAAAATTAATTTAAATCGATACTCATATAAGGACTCATAGAACTTATAGAACTTATTGAAATGATAACTTAACATTAACAATTTATTTATATAAATATGTATATATATTATATTTTTGTGCATTTCAGGGTTTAATATTAATATCAATCAATATAGTGCGTTGACTACTTATAGCATAATCATCATTTATATTTACAAAAATATATTATGAATTCGATGTATGTAGTATTTGCAATAGTTAACATTATACCAGCCATCATTTTGAAAATTACTTCACTAACAGGAATTTCCAAACTAACAATATACGATTATTATTTAATAATTTTTTTATATAAAGTTTTGATGCAATGGCAGATGAAAAAGACAAAATAATGGGTTGAGGAATGAAGCGAAAAGCGAGAAGTACATCGTCAAATCTCCTCAAAAACTGATATAACAAAAACACCCTTAAAATCCCTAACACTGTCCGGCGCAAGGAACTTTCAAATCTTGACACTAACTGGCATGCTGTGGCGATCGGCGAATCTCTGTGCCACATTGGTAGGGACTTCCAGGTGGTCCTTGCAGTCGCACTTGTTGCCGACAAGAATCCGCGGTATGTTGTAGCTGAGGCTGTGGTGATTGCATTCTTCAATCCAGGACGGCAATGACTGAAAAGTGTTTCAATAGGGGTAGGTGGGATTTTTATGTCACCTCAAGTCTTTCTTATATGCTGAAAGTTAGGAGTGTTTCCTACATGTTTAATATATCAGAAAGGAAAGGAAAGGAAAGGAAAGGAAAGGAAAGAAAAGAAAAGAAAAGAAAAGAAAAGAAAAGAAAAGAAAAGAAAAGAAAAGAAAAGAAAAGAAAAGAAAAGAAAAGAAAAGAAAAGGAAAGGAAAGGAAAGGAAAGAGAAGAGAAGGGAAGGGAAGGGAAGGGAAGGGAAGGGAAGAGAAGAGAAGAGAAGAGAAGAGAAGAAAAGAAAAGAAAAGAAAAGAAAAGAAAAGAAAAGAAAAGAAAAGAAAAGAAGAGGAAAGAAAAGAAAAGAAAAGAAAAGAAAAGAAAAGAAGAGAAGAGAAAAGAAAAAACAAAGATGGTGCACCAAACTCACCATAAACGAGGCCATTCTAGTGACATCATACACGAAGACAACTGCATGGACGTTACGGTAATAGTGCTGAACCATCGATCTCCGGAATCTCTCCTGGCCAGCGGTGTCCCAGAGCTGGAGCTGGAATCACCACGGGCTTCTGAGCTTTTATGACTGAGCTGCGACTTTATGCCATGACTGCAGATCTTCTCTAATCTAAATTCAATCCTTTGTTATGGGTATATGTTTGAGTTTTGGACATGTATTAAAGCCAGTATATGTGTATGAATGTGGGTATGCTGGAACAGGCTGAT